ATATATATATTATATATATATATATATATGTATAAGTATACATGTATATGTATATATATATATATGTATATATATATATGTACGTGTATTTATATATATACACATCCGAATGAAATTTTTGTACGGGAAACTCAAGAACTTGTGCAACCGTAAACAAAATGAGCTTTTCAAGAATGGTGGCTTGCATAGCTTTCACGACGATTGTTTGCTATATCTTGTCTCGATAGAACACTGTAAATCAAAACGAACCGATGATGAACAATATTATTTGATATGCCTTTGGTTTGATTTGCCTGAGATTCGTACTATCCAGCTTAAATCTTGTGGATGGCACAACTTAGAAAATATGGTTTATTCCAGGGTATGAACATAATCACAATATGGATGGATTGTGCTCATAAAGTCTTATCGTTGCTATTCAAATTCCCTGGGCTTGTCGAGTTGGTAAGCGGTTCGAAGGTGCTCAGCAAAATAAGATCCGATGACACTTGACTCTATTCTGGGACCGCATTTGATCTTGTGTTAAGAGACTGTCTTGCCTCGAAACGCACAAGCAGTTATCATCTGAGGATGGTTTAAAACTGCAAGCAGCGCCTTCAAGCGCTCCATGGAGCATGTAAATATAGTTTAACACTATGTACGCCATGTTTGTGTGAAGGAAAAAAAATCTCTACATGCCGTGCACTCATATCAAAGTTCAAGAACGGCGTCAACACGGTATCTAGGCAATCTGAAATCGAATTTATAAATGTTTCGATATCAATCACCAAATCAAATTCCTACAAGGTGACATATATGATATTTTTTCCTGGGCCCTCATCCTATTTACAACTTGTGGTCCTATACTCCGGAGAGCATGTTCAAGAAGACAGATGTGCACAAACACACACTCGCAAAGCGTAGAACCTTCTTTGTCTGCTAACAACTTCATTTTGCGGTGTTTACTCGCTTTCAGACCCTTCTGAGTCTGAAGCTGGCGCTTGTTGAAGACCTGCCCTGTACTGCGCCATAGCCTCGTCGTAACGAATCTTATCTTTGCTTGCAAGCTCGACGTATTTCTGTGTCGTAAGTGGTATTAATAGTGATATTAATTGGTCGGACTCGGCACAATGTTGTATGTTTCGTTAATATCAAAAAATAGCACGTATTAAGCATAAGCCTGGAGCAACACTCGAAGTTGTCTCCAAAGGTAATTGCATAGAAAAGTGACACACAATATAACAGTGCTGTTAAAAGGACATACCTGTCTTTGGTATTCGTCAGTTAACTTCCACATCTGTCCAAGTTTAACAGCTTTTTCCGTGATTTTAAGGTCAGCGGGCAGTGTAGGTCGCATGTCGTTGGAGAAGAACAGATACGCCGATAATGCTCTCTTAGGCATATTTGGATCTTTCTTGGCCTGTGTGCGCAAAAGTTATCAGAGAAGCAAAGTATTAGAAAATAATACAAGGATATAAAAGCGGAGTTCAACGTTGACGCTTTAAAACCTCTAATGGTAAACATCTTACGGAAACACACATGTATACCTCATGTGGGGCCGGAACATTCAGCAATCTTAAAATATCATACTCCGCGTACCTTTTTACTAACACCTCGCTTCACTTTGGGAGCATCATCTTTGGCAGCCTGTGCTGCAGACCTGTGCTCCACGTAGTATTTCATATCCTCTTCATATTGCGCATTGAGGCCTGGAATTCGATCTGAATATGCCTAAGAAGAGAAATTTGCAAGGTGTTAATCCGACAGGCAACACTATACCATCTAATATGCACACACATTTTTACGCAGCGGAAAGGGCCCAAAAATTGACAAAAATGCAGTGTGTGTCACCAAATCGTCCTCATCACGACCAACCTACCTGCTTCTCTGCGTCGGAAAGTTCCTTCCATTCAGCCCCAAGTCCTTTGAAAACATCGGTGTTCTTGACATCAGGATTTTCTAATATATAATTGGGTCTGCGCTCAACCACAAAGAGTGTGTAGGCAGATCCAGGCTTCTTAGGCTTGGCCAAGTCGTCTCCGTTCAAAGGTCTCATAGTGAAGTGGGATGGATATAGTCTAGGCAAAGCAGTCAAAAAAAGACTCACTCGGACCAGCTAGTGGACGCCTGTAGGATTTTGGCGAGAGAGACGGCAGAAGTTGAAGCGCTGTTGAAAAACACAGGCACACAAGACTGACTTCACTTGGCGTTGTCTTCTTAACGTGAGTGCGGCTGGAGGGTAATGGAAATTTGCCCTTTTTCACTCTTATCAGATTGGAAATCACTGAGGTGGTAAGATATTCCACAAAGAAAGGATGCAACTAAATACGATGTATTGTGAAAGGCAGTATTTGTGCGCAGCCTTTTTGTCTGCACCGGTCGCAGGTTGCAATATATGCATAAGCATAGTAGGCAAATTCTATTTATAACTTGGTAGGTTTTATAGGCCGGCGTTTGTAATTTATTTAAAAATAAAAAATTAAATTTAAAAAATAAACTCTGAGCTAAACTCAATTTGCATCCAGTACCCAATCAAAATTTGGCGGGCTTCTGTGATTCAACGAAAACCAAACTTCTAACCGCTAACCAGGCCTGCCGGCGCTAACGATTCAAACCAAGCTTCAATTTCCGGGAAATGATAGTAAAATTGGTACTAAAAATAGTCGTGCAAGTACAACGCCTATCGGTTGGGGACTTGGGGTGGGCAGTTGGGACTTGGGCGGCAATGTGTGGGCGGCTGGGCGCTTTACGGGTGTAAACCTTCTGCAGTCAGCAGTCAGCACCAGGCCTATTTTTTTTTTAAATATGTCCTCATAGGCTCATTCGTACGTTCTTGAGCAGTAGGAATAGAAGTTCAAAAATAAAAAATAAAATATACAGCCACAGCCCACAGGGGCCCACAGCCCACACTCCATACTCCATAGGCCTATAGCGGCATAGCCCTCAAACAAACAACACAGCTCAAGAGTCAATACTTTTTTTACACAATTTATTTTTCTGTTGATTCTAAAATTTTCAATCCCGTTTTCGTTCATATTTTTTAATACGTTTTCGTGTCTAATATATAAAAGGCGTGTAAGGTTTTCGTCCTTATTTTGTTTTTGTTTTTTTTAAATATAGGTATTTTATAAATTATTTTTGAAGAAGGAGAGACGATGAACTGATTATCGTAAATCATACAGTCGTAAACTACCTTGTTGTTGTGAACTTGTGACTTGTGAAGCGCTATTTTATATATATAAAATACATAGAATTTTACTACACACTATTTTAAATATAAAAACAAATATTGCAACAAATACAGATTTGATATGAATCTTGAAGAGCTAGATATTGCTCGTGATTGTAGATCCAGTACATATACCTTTTTTCTTTGCCTAATTGAATCACCACCTCTCATTTCAAAACAAAATCGCGATAAAAATAACGATGCTTTCTTTTTCGGAGTTTCCCCAGGGCCAGTAATCCCCAGTTCCCCAATCTCAACTCCCCCCACTGGCCCACTCACCCCAGTGACCCACTGACCCCACGTCCCCACAGACCCACACGCACAAGTCGCAGCCCAAACGGGTCACAGGCACAGCCCACACTCCACAGGGCCCAAACAGTCACACTCTCACTGTTATATACACGGGCTCACGGCTCACGGGCCATTATATTTAGTTCTAATTTATTGTTTTTTTTTGTTTTTGTTTTCTTAAACCAGCCAAATTCAATTTCACAGTGAAAGCGTTTCGGTTTGCACAGTCCCACAGATGAAGACGAAGTAAAGCTATTAAATTTTTGTGTTACGTTTTTTAGGAGCACAAAGTAAACTCGAGAGTCGAGGGTAGAGAAATAAAAAATAAAAATAAAAATTGCGACGGTACTATAAATAGCATAAACTCTTGACTTCAACCGTTTTTTGAAAATTTTAAAATTGAGGACAGGAGGTGTTTCATTTTATTTATTTTTTAACTTTTGTTTCTATTTTAGGCTATGTCTTAAAATGCCAAGTATTTTAAAATAGAACAGGGAACAAAGTTTTCAAAAAACACAAACTGTGACTGATGTGAAGGCTATGAATAAACCTAGTTTGATTTTAAATTCTGGCTGTCACGCATTTTTAACAGTAAATATTTGGATGGAGACACAACTGGAAACCAGTCAACCCTCATTTTTTGGTCTACGTTTCAGGCCATAATTTGGACAATCCGAGAGGTCCTAAAGTCAGGCAAGTAGTTCTGGACAACGGTCACTGTCACATGCGTGTAAGTCTACGCGCATGCATGCTAAAATATGCATAGCACAAGTTGACTATGCATATGGGCAGAGCGCCGACATATATTACACTGCTACATGGTGGTCAAAACGTATACAACCCCAGTATATGCATACGTACATATATTCTACAGACAGGTACTTCATCGTCGCTTCTAGGTTGGTTGGTTGAAAAATTTACCTTGTTTTATGGCCTCGAACTTTGTGCACTTACGAACGTATATTGAACTGATATGCCGATAGTACATAAAAGGCAAGTACTCTTTTTAGCTCGGTACAAATAACTGCTGTATTGCTGTCTCAGTATATTGACATCAGTCAGAACACTTAATCTAGCAAGAAAGATGCGATGCGATTAATGATATTTCATACTTTTGAGATATAATGATGTAATAAGTCATAATGATGGTCCGACTAAATACATTAGTTGATGATGTCTGCTTGTACATTCTGCTCTTGAAAAGATGCAATCTCGGCCAGAGATACGATCGGCAAAGGCTGCTCTAACCTTGTACACAGAGTTGCTGTTGCCGATTCTCACGCGTTAAAATACGCTCACAATACGCTGCCATCACGTTTGGATCGCTGAATACATGGTGTAATAATCCGGGCCTCCGATTAAACCCTGAAACCCTAAACCCTAAATCGGAGTATTGCTGTTTTCACGAGGCAGACCTAACTTTATAAAACGTCTCATTTTGTTTATTTATATCGGTATTTACACGATATAGAGAATTTTCCTGCGCGTTTATTTATTCTAAGGCATTAGTATCGCCTTTAATAGACCGAATCTTACACATTTTAAAATTAGCAAAAGTATTAATTACTTAGACTACTTAAGCGTAAAGTTAAGTTAACTACCACAACATTTGTTTTTGCTTTTGTCTAAGCTAGTCGTTAAGAGACAAGCTAGCAGTCATAAATTAAGATTATGACCAAGAAAAACAACACTCCTTCTAAGAAGCATAGAGCTGAAAAGAAGAAGATGGAGAGAGCAGTCGCTAACGCTGCCGCAGCTATTACTGCTGCAAACGTAACCGACGCCGCTGCTGATGCATTTAAGCGCACTGTAGCCAAAGTACTTGCCTCTGACAATTATAGTTAAAAGGACAATGCTTCAGATAAGGAAGTAGTCACTCCGCTTAAGGAGACTACTCCCTCTGACAGAGCCCGAGGGCCAACTATTGCCTCATCTTCAAAGTTTGCATTAACGAAGCCAGGAAGTGAGACAAGAGATACGTCTCAAGACGCCCCAACCCAATCTTCTGACGAAAATCAGAAGGAAAGTCCCCAATTATGGGGGCGTTCCCAATTATAGGGGACAAAGACAAATCTCAGAAGGAACCTAATATGGAACCAAAAGAGGAGGCAAGCTCAAGTAGCAAAATCGAATCTACGTCCGAGACTTCTAAGCCAAAGAACATAAGTAAGTCAATTACTAAATACGCTGATCTTAAAAATCAATTAGCTACTATTACGAAAGACTTGACTGTCGAACATGTAGATCAATTGGAAAGATCAGGAAACATACAAAGCGCTTACGCGAGCATATTTCCCCGGGCATTACTGAAGCCCTACAGAAGTGGACAGAACGTCGACAGGCAATTACGTCCTAAGACTCAAGCTCGACACCTGAGTCATATGATCCAGAGGTGCACAGCGTCGATATACCGTACAAGGCATTACTGCTAGAAGAACAGGTTAATCATTTGCCTGTTCTGACACCCGGCCGTGAGTCACCTGTCCACAAAAGTATTATAGACCGAGAGATAGGGAGATATACTCTGCCACTTGTACCCAATTGGGAGGATAAGTGTCGGAAACCAGTTAAGACTGAATATATTATTCCGACGCCAAGGGATATTAATCATCCCCGCAGACGTGTGAACGATGTCGAGTTTAATCATTTCGACCGCATGGCTTTACACTAACCCGCAGAGGATTTCCATTCTGACGAGGTGACCGACCTTAATAAATCGGTCGACGACTACACCAATTTTTTTCACGACGGACCTTTGATTTAAATATTCGCCTCCGAAACGTAAATCTCAGTGACCAGTAGGTCACCGGTGTAGAACTGAATACCACTTTCAAAAAAAACCCCCACAGACCCCACCAAAACGTTGACTTGAAATTTGGATTTCAATCACAAAAAAAAATGTTTTATCCAGTAGGGAGTCTGGGGACCAACAGTCCCACAGTCCCACAGTCCCACATCCGCGAAAAATGTCGGGCCAGGCCGAATCCCCAATTGAGAACTCCTTACCCAATGACCAATGGAAATTGAACATACAAAAATCTATCACAAACCTCTCTGCCCAGGTCAGTACTCTACAGGCCAATCTCAATCAAATTTTGGGACCGGCTCTAACAACCCCGAACAATGATGGGTCCATCTCCAAGGAGCCTTTGACTGATGACCAATGGAAATCAGCCATACACCAAATGCTCACTAACCTCTGTGCAAAAACAACCAACCTTGATTCCGAACTCCGGGACCTTAAATCCCAAACCCGTGCACCTATAGATAAAGACACACCCGACACCTTCCGATTTGGCTCCACAAGCCCGCCTGCTCCGCCTGCAAAAAGACCGCGGTCACAGGCACCCAATAGCAGCAGTGAGCCTCCCAGCTACCGCTCAAAAGTGGACAAACCTGCAAACCCGAGCCCTAAAAAACGCCCGGCCCCACCAGCTTCTCAGTCCCAATCGCAACCGCCAGTACCCGAACACCTTTTGACGAAAGTGGTGGGCTGCCCGATGCCGGACAAAACTCTTCATGAAATGGATGACATAACTCCGGTATGGCTCTTCTTCCGAGCAATTTTCCCTAACGGCAAGCCCACATCCCAATCAGTATTTGAAAAATTCTGGCATGCCCAACCAGCCCTCAATCGCCACCACTTTCTCTGGTATCTTCCGTCTAAATCGGTATTTCAACCGAATCGCCGCGGAAGCTCCACCAGTTTCATCCGCCTTTGTGTTCCTGGTGACTCTGTCGCCCCGGTGAAACGGCATGCAGCACTTACGTGGAAATGGCAGCTTGATGAAAACATCGACCCCCGCTCCCAACAACATCCCGACGCTACGAAAG